ATCATAAATATACGTCTCAAGATATATCTTGAAACCAATAATCTCTTATCTGGCATGCAGTTTGGATTTCGTAACGATATATCTACTGATGACGCGTTCACGATCTGATTAATCATATTGTGGGGCCCCTGGACAATCGCGATAAATGTGTTGCTATTTATCTTGACCTGGCTAAAGCCTTCGACACGGTTTCCGTTTCCCGACTTTGTAGCAAGTTTAAAAGACTTGGAATTAGAGGTAAACCACAGGAATTGTTTGTGAGCAATCTTTCGAATCGCACACAATGTGTGAAAATTGGCGAACATATGAGTGAAGATCTTCCTATAGAATGTGGTGTTCCTCAGGAAAGTATATTGGGTCCCACACTGTTTTTGGCTTATATCGATGATGTGTGTAATGATGGATTAGTAAATGGTAAATTAGTGGTATATGCGGATGATACTGCACTGATATTTACTGCTGGCACCTGGGAACAAGCGGTCCACGCTGCTCGAGTTGGCTTTGATGCGATATCTGGCTGACTCTCTGATAATTTACTAACATTAAATGTCAATAAATCAAAATTTTTAATATTTAGTATTTACAAACCAAAAGCTTTACACTCATTTTCAATATAATTGCCCACAACCATGCTGCGGTCAGTGACTTAGTGACTGTCCTAAATTGGAAGCATCGTCCATATTCAAATACCTGGGACCTGGTGTGATCTTAGATGAAAATCTGAATTTTATACCTCACGTTCAAAATCTAGCTAGTAGAATGCGTAAACTTATCTATGTACTCAAACATTTAAGACATGTGGCTGAACCAAGTACATTACAAATGGTATGTTTCGCCTTGTGCCAATCCTTACTGAGCTACTGCATTACGGCGTGGTGAGGTTCTTCTAAGACTCACTTGTTCGCAATCGAACGTGCTCAAAGAGCAGTTTTAAAATTATCTACCTTCAAGCCCTATCGTTTTCCAACCAGGGATCTATATGAATACTATGAGGTACTTACCGTACGCCAACTTTTTGTCCTCCAAACAGTATTGTACTCACACATAGACGTATTAACGTAATTCCCCGTACAGAGTTATCTGCAAAAGTTCTTTCAGTCAAAAATTCTTTTACTTTTTAGGACGTTTCTTACTTAACAAAACTAATAACCTATTAGCCATTGATAAAAAAAATATACGAGTGTATAAAGACGGTTTCTAAGTGGCTCATGAAACTCTCATATGAAGAACCAGAAAATCTTCTATATACAGTCAAGTAAGATAATGTCTTTGTAAACACACACATGTACTTGCACATTAAAATCCCTATCCCATGGATATCGACACATTCGTCCACTTCTCACTCTACTCTGTTGTTACAAATAATATTGTTTTTCATTATTGTTACATTCGAGCGTTGAACTTTATTTTACCTGTATAATAACGTCCGTATAAAATCATTTGGATTATATCTCTGTGACACTGGAAGGTTGCTGGTACTTAAAGGACAAGTTTTCTTTTTTTTAAGTACTTACCATCTTTCATATGTTCTGATACTGGCTGTACCTTTTATTTTGCACTTTTTATACTTTGTAACGTTTATGTTCCAAGAATAAATTTATTATTATTAAAAATAATAATAATAATAATTAATTCTTTAATTTATGTGTATATTATTATTATCCGTTTTACTTACCGTGCCTGTAAACTTACGCTGCGTGTACGTGTCATGCTTAGCTGTCAAGACGGGCTGCGCTCTCAGTTTTGTTTAAAAGAAGAAATATGTACCAAATTTGTATTTGGCATAGATTGTTTCATTGTGTCCGGTCAAACATTGCATATATATATATAATACATGGCATACAAACATATTAAAGGTATATTATACATTCTTTGTCTATCTATGTGCTTTAAGAAATGACGCTAATATATAATATAAGCGTTATTTCTCGAACTAAACTTTCTGCTACTTTTTGAGGGGCGGGGGTAGTACTACAAGCAAACAGGTGCACTCAAATGCAATATTGAATTATGTCACTATAGTCTCACATAAACAAAAGTCGACAACACTAGCTTCTTTTTACAAATACACAGATCAAACACACATTCATGTCATGTCCGTATACAGAATAGGCCTATAAAAATAAATCGATTCTCATAAATATACTAGAGACGGAAAGTTATCGACGTGACGGTGTCGATATGTATTACGTACTGGTTAATCACATGTATGAAAAATATAATTCCACCTTTGGCTAGGTTGAATGTAGAGGATTTCTTTTTGCAATTTTGAGTGTGGTTAACAGTGGTATTGTTTTACTTGTATTTGCCAGAAGAGATTGCCCATTGACTTACCAATAAATGGGTGACAATAAATACAGTCCAAAGTCTAATCCAAAAACCGCGAAAAAATGTCCGGAGTTTTTTTTTTCAGTTTACGGCTTTTCGCGGTCGGCGTTGGAGTCAATGAAAGGCACGGCTGGAGTTAACGTTAAAAATAGAGAAATAAAAAAAAACTAAAACATTTAATTTAAATTGTAAACTCATTGCAGTATGTATTGCTTTATTTTGTTTGCCACAAATTAAAGGCCCAAAAATTATCCATATTCAGCTTCTACTGGAAATAAAAAAAATGCACCTTATTTAGTTTCTAGTGAAAACTACTGGAACACAAGAGTGATGGAGTAGTCTGAATGGCAATATTAATTAATTTTGTAGTATTATGTTGAATTTTATACGAATTTACTTCAAGTAATAAGAGTTGTGCAGATATTTAGGTACATACAAATATTATAAATGTGAAAATAGCTGTGTCTGTTGGTAGTTCTGACGTGCTGTAAGAAATGTATCGATGTTTCGAATTTTTGGATTTCAACTAAACGTAAACTCAAAGTTTCATAATCTCGAAAACCGATTTATAACAAAACAGTAATGCTTTCTGGCGATTTTGATTGCTTATTACAAATAAAAGTTTAAGTAAGTTTGTTTTGTAGTATTTCTAAAATAATCTAAAACATACATTTGGGATTACAAAAATTCGAGCAAATATTATTTCGGGCAAATGTATTTTCGGATTACTGACTGATAACTCCAAACAGTAAAACGATTACAACAATATTTTGTTAGTTATTTATTACTAACATTTAATTTGTAAAATAATGACGCTTTATCATTTTAAAAATAAGATTAACATTAAATCAATTCCATATTTTCTTTGTTCTAAAACAAAACATTTCAATCGCTTGTGGTTCGAAAATTGAAATTGACGGAACGGGTCTCTTTCGCGCGCGCATCTTTTGAGCATGTCTTGTGTAGGATATGGACACTTAGCTATTTGGTTATTTTGATTGCTTTTGTAATTTATGTGTATTGTATGTAAGTATGTACTCGTATATGTAATTTTTTTCTTACAGTACTTGATGATTTATATTAAAAGAATTACAATTTATTTTCATTATTTATAATTTATTACATTATTATTTAATATATAATACGACGGAGAAATCAATTTGAATAAACTTCGTTACGTAATCTATTGATAAAACTCGGAGCTAAAAAGCACGTTCGCTTCTCTATAACGAAAAAACAGCGTCCATGAAGTATTGCCTTTTTTGTCTGTGGTTGCCTATCAGTAATTAAGGAACTTCACATGCATGCTTGTGTCAAATGCTCGTATGTTTTCAAATATTTTCTATGTAATCGATAAATTTAATCAATGTGATCATTATGAAAAAATGTGTTAAAATAGAAAACTAGTAATTAATGTAAAAAAATAGACGTACAAATGGAATGTAATTCCATTCTTGGCTAGACTGGATGTAGCAGAAATTTTTTGCAAGTTAGTATGTTGCAAGACGACATATTTCGTGGACACTTGACGCGGTGAAATCGATAATGCAAATGAAAAAACATCGATTTGAAAGTAGTGTTTATTGTGCTACTGTTGTTTTGCGCTTGTACCTTGACAGAGGGGATTGACTATCAATGACGCCTCCAGTCCTATAATGCTCTAAGGGGAATACGATAATATTTTTTACAGAATTTTAATTTACAATTTTTTATCAAATTATATCAAATTTTAAATACACAAGGGTTCGGTTTGATGTGAAATGAGCGATGTGTGGTTGTATTTTTATTTTAAAAATAACAAAGTGTTGCCTGTGATTTTAGGTTCGTTTGTTCATTATTTTTGTGGTTACGTTAAACCATGGCTTTATCGGTATATGCGGCTGAATACGAGCATAGAGTATACCCTTCGACTGACAGGATGATGCCCGAGTTTCACGCCTGGCGTTTACAGGTTGTGGGTCTAACTAAAATAATGCTCAGTTTCGCCACAAGAAAAAGCCTCGTTAGCTAGGATGTCATCGTATTAATTGCCAGAGTGAGATTGAGCATAGTCTGAAGAGAGAGAGAGAGAGAGAGGTAGTAGAGCAGCGTCTGAAGTTTATATTTTTTACTTAATACAATAAGAAAACTGTTTTCGATCAACCGTTTTAGATTGGAACTTTAATTCATTCACTCTTCGCCACGACCTAACTAACAAAAAAAATTATGTAACCAAAATTGTTGTTTATTTTCTAAACAGTCTTGTTGTTATTTACTTCAGTTGCTTTATTGGCAATTGACAAAAATGATATAACAGAGTTTCTTGCCTTTAATTGTCTCCGCGAAAAGTGATCTACTTAATTAAACTTTTTAGACTAATTATTATATCACTGCATTACAGAGCGCTTGGAGATCGATTTGCGACTTCGTGTCAATTTTACATAGTACCATGCTCAAAATATACTTTGTGTAGGTACTGCAATCCGTGTTTTGCAGTCCTACAGGTGTGCAGGTAGACTTGACGAGGAGGTAATGTAATTATTCAGAGGTATGCTTATTATTTCGTGTCATAAGTGTATGTACACGTTGGTTTGAATTAGATCTATTGAGTCATATTTTTTCAGATAAAATGAAATATCAATGCGTTTAAATTTAGTTCATGTTTATCTTCCGTCTGTTATTTTGTTATGCAGTTGTTCCGCCAAAGTCATCACCGGCTCAAACGCGTATAGAGAATGGACCAGAGACTGTAGAACTGTCTACACTAGAGTGGCGTAGCCCCAATGATGATGTGAGTCCTATTTGTAACCTTAACGATTTTATATGTAAAGTAACACCTCTTACATTTCGAATCTTTCGATAGCACTAATAAGTTCTAAATTCACAAGTTTTTGAGGTTTCGAGCCGATGTAATAATGGACTCTAAAGGTGCGTTGGTACTATTTAAAATCGTTGTATAATTACGATTCCTTTACTTTTATTTCCTTTGCTTATCTATTGTTTTCGATGTTGGTATGCAATGTTTTGTATATAAATATCATTCGTTGTTAGTCTGTTTCAAATTTGTATGTTGGATGTCAATGTTATTGAACTTAATAATAGTTGAGCTTTGTATAATGTTCATACTTGCTATTATAGGTCCGGCCATGTATCAGTGCGTTGCTTGCGTCCGAGAGTCATCCAGTCTCCTGTCCTGCTGTAAGTATAAATCTTCGCTTAGTGATTCTTTTTTTATATTTTCGTACGGCAAACACATAATTTTTTATTGTAAAGAAGGTACATATCTATCCCAGCCCCCGTAACAAGGCTACTAAATTGAAATAAGCGAGCGTTATTGGCTATCTCAATCAGATCTAATTTAGATTGCCAATAGCGCGCTCTTATTTCAATTTTATCGCGCGCGTCGCGACTATTATTCGTAGCCATGCTACGGCAGCAGGAGTGGTGCCATTTCAATTTGAAGAAAATGTTCCACCTCTATGAGTGGCAAACTAGGGGACACTTACACTGGCAAACAATTGTATCCACGTGCAAGTGGCAAGTGCCAATAGCCTATTGATATTTGCTAAGCTAATAATGCACCCTTAAGTATCGCAAATACGTTGCAATCCATAGGACATAACAATGGCTTTCTAAAATAGTGGCCTATTTTAATTATCTAATTCACCAGGAAGATGTTAAGAAAAAATTTAGACGTGTTTGTCGCTCAAAATTGACATATCGTAGGCCATTCAACGTTGTCTTGTGATTATTTTAACAATGAAAGCTCATTATCCTATTTATAATAAAATTTAGTGTTTTTAGAACAAATCTCAGTGATAAGTCCAAAAAGGAACTATTTTGTATTGGGCCACTATTTTTGACAAGCAGCGAATAAGGTTTAATTCTCTTCGTGCACGTGATCTACCTAAATTTCAATCCGAGACACAGCCCTGTTGTGGTAGAAATAAGTACCTACCTACGCGGGTTCTGCACAGGCATAGGACACTACCAAAGACCACCGGTTTTTTTTTACCAAAATAGTGTGAAGAAATACTAGGTTTAATGCTTTTGTAACTAATAAATATTAAAATAAATAGGCCTTGAGATTATGTTGTGAAATATCTATGTATATCTTATTTTTCCAAGATGTAGAAAACAACTAGAGCGTGTGACTCGTGAGTTTCAGCACAATTTTCTGTGCGATTTGAACCGTTAGTATAGAACAGCAGACTTTTGTCTGGTTTAAAATTAAAATTGTTTCATACTGTCCTGTACTACTCGCTGAGTTTTTGGGGTCAGTCTATTATAACTATTGGCTTATTAGGGCAAATTTTGTTTCCTTGGAGAGGCGTAATGTTTAAGAATGAACCACATACTTCTCCATATTGTGGCTGAACATTTGGAATCTGTTTAATTTAATTTGTTTTGTTTTGTAGCTTTTCTTTGCCTTTCGCTTGAGTTTGTTGTCGTGGATTGTTTGTTTGTTAACAATCTTGAAAAATACACACATTTTATGGAATATATTATTGTTTTCATGAGACAATAGAAGCTCTTGTTAATATGATTAAGTGCTCTCCAAAAAACACGTACCTAATTAACACGTTTTAAGATTATTTTTGCCACACAATATGCTGCACGAGCATGCTAAAGACATCATAACCAAGTCAAGTCGTAAATAGGTATACAACGCATTCGTGACTTCCATTCGCCGACGTAGTGGAGAAAGTTGCAACTACGTAAGCGCTGAATAATTTCTCACCAACGTGACGTTAACATCGTCATTTATAGATCCATAAAATCACATACATACATATAAACATAAAGTCGTTAAAAATTGGTCGTAATTTTTCGTTCGGTTTTTATTTCTTACATTGAAAAAATTCTAATTTTTGCAGGATGGATTCTTTTGCGAGATTTCCATGCGTGACGGTGTAGTCATGTACACAACGCCATCTCTCACCACAACTCTGGGATACCCTAAAGACATGTGGGTCGGCAGGTCCTTCATAGATTTTGTCCACCCTAGGGTAAGCTGTTAATAAGCCACTCTGTGTCTCTATATTTTTTTGGTGATCTACATTGAATATTAATTTTTAAACCCATTTGTGGAATTTAGTATTTCCTTATAGCGCGTTTAATTCTCGGATTTCTTTGGCATTAGCTTTAAACAATTATATGTTAAACGAATGACAACGACGATCGTGCTGCCCTCCTTGTCGTAAGTACCGCATTTGCATTTTAGTAACTTTCGAGTTATTAGCTCCTAAAGTTTTTTTACATATGAAAAATATAAATTTTTGCTTAACAATGTAACTGAAATTCAATATGACATTATGGGGTGTAGATCTCGTTTAACTGCCCCTGTGGCCGAACCTTTAACCTGGTAACCGCTGGTGGTACTGGGTCCGATTCCCAGGCCGGGAGAAATATGTGTGTGGCCTACATTTATTTCTCTCGTGAGTTTGGGTGTAATTTGTGGTTGTCTATTGTGGTCCGTGGCACCCACGACATATTAACAAATCTGGAATCAGCTATAATAATAATACCAGTAACCAATTTCGCTAAAAATGTCTCGATTACGCTACTTAGCGGGCATCTCGTTCGTTCCTTCCTCGAACTTGCAAGATGTTGAATGATCTTCCTCCTGAAGTATTTCCTTTGCGTTATGACATGAGGTTCTTCAAAAATCGTGTTTACATGTCTCTCAAAGGCTGGCAACGCGTAGGCGGCTCATCTGATGTTGCAAATGTCTATGGGCGATAGTGACCACCTCCTATCAAAAAGCCACTTGGCTTGTCTGCTCGTTTGCCTTCTTCTTTACATAAAAAAAAGTTATGACATCGAGGGCAGCGCAGTGATTCGGCGCTTAACACAATGACCGCTTGATGATGAGGTCCGATTTAAGAAACGAATTTTTCCAAATAAGATGGTGATCTTTTTCTTATCCTATCGATGGCATACACTATAATGCTTGCCAACGTGGTGAAAGGATTTGTCAATCGGCGTATGGTACTCGTCGACTGTTGCCAGGGTATGCCAGACATACAAAAAAGGAATGGTATGTCTCGGGCGGGCAAGCTAAGCACCCGAGTAGGTGGTGGTTTGGGCATACTAATGGTCGTATTCCAGAACTCTACTCAATGCTCAAGTCAGGACTTGAGCAGACTTGAGTATGATTTCAAGCACTGGAAATACGACCCTAATGGCAAGGACTTGAGTATGATTTTCAGTGCTCACTGCAATACTCAAGTCCTGACTTGAGTATTGAGTAGAGTTCTGGAATACGACCCTAAGTTCTGTTTACGGACTTAATTTCTATACTCTGGTACTCAGGTAGTCCTTAGTTTGAAATCAGATAATTATACACAAAGAGTAGATAATATCTCCCTCTGAAATCCCGGAATGAATAAAAATTAATGCAATAAATCAAAACAAAATAATTATATTTAAATTGGTATTGAATTAATATTCGATGGTTTTTTGTGAAATTACTCCATTAGTTTGTTATAATTATTAATACAAAGTTCGAACACTTAGAAAAAATTCCTCTGATCTGGCCGAATTCGAATCGACGTCTTTTAGCAAACCGTGTCAAGCGCTATGCCAACTAAGTTTGCTTGCTATCTTTGTATTAATAATTATAAAATAATTATATTTTTAGTAACAATTACAAAACTTTCTTTGAAATGCAGTGCCGCAGCACATTGCTAATAAAACACCAAAAATATAAAACTAAATACAATATATTTTGGATCCGAAGTGAAAATCAATAAAATGCTATACATATTTCAAAAATATTTTCATAACATACAAAATCAATTTTATCCACTTATAGTTTTGAATCATAAATATAACAAAGGAAATACTAATTTACTTAATCACATCTCAACTGAGTTGGAAATTAATTACAACAAGTCACGTTGATTACACGCCGCACCTTACGAGAAACGACGAGCCTTTGGCTCTGGCGTAGCTTTACATAGAATTTGTCAGTGGAAAATGGGAGTGTCCTAACTATATAATAATTACGTAATTTCTGAGGGAGGCACTATCCACTCTATGTGTATTAATTACTTCCTTGAAGCTTAGGCAATGACTGTAACTATGTCGATCTTTGTTAATAACTGTATACCTACTTTAAATCCTTTCTTATTTAAGAAACTCTTGGTGGAGTAACCACTGATACGACACGACAACGTTCTCTTTTCATTTATATACTTTAAGTTTCATAAATACCTAATACTTATGATGATATAAATTCGCAGGATCGCAAAACGTTCGCCTCACAAATCTCGAGTCGTTGGACAGTCCCGAAAAATGATAATGATACAGTAGTAAAAGGTAAATAGAACATTATAATCCATTGTGTCAATTTATAATTGTTAGTTTTTTTAACTATGTGCATACGTACACACTTGTCCCCGCACACAATCGCACAAACTCTCGAGGCTGTGCCCAGAGATGGTGGGAGGCGCATTTGCAGACAATCAAAATTCTTTGTTGGTTTTTTTTTTTCATAAACATTTCGGAGTATTTAAGAATTATTCTTATAGTAAAGCACTTTCAGTCGCTTACTTGTTATGATTTCTAATCAAACAGGACCCCGCTAGGCAATTCGTTAGTTTGTGTATGCTATGTAAATTGTAATATAAAATTCATACGAAAAATAAAAAGAATATCTTGAAATGCGTTTGCAAATAATAGTTGTTTTTTGGTTTTCTCTTGGCTATTCAATTGACTATTGTTGCGATTGGCACATGGATGGAAAAGGTGAATGTTAGTAGATGTTCACATTTTTTGACATGCAAACACGTTTAACGATGACCACTATTGGCAAGGCAGCAAAAAGTTTTCTATTCATCCAAGTATTCTCAACATTTAAAAAAATTATCTGTAATAAAATTTAGACTTTTTTCTAGTATATACATATTTTTTAACATATTTTGATTTACATTGGTATTGTTTTTTGCTAAATAAAGGACAATGGCAAACTCCCATATACATTTATGTTGACATAATTTGTAAGCGTCTGTTTATGAAAAATATGTGAGAATGTAGAATTGAAATTCGTGAATAAGTTTTGTTTTGGGTTTTCTATGCCGAGAAGTCTGGAAGATATTCCAGTTTGAAGTTTTGTAGGTGGTTTTGTAGTTAATAGAAGCTGAATGGTGCTGCTGTATTTGTGACTTGACGAAAGTTCAGAGGAAATTATTTTTTATACTGGTATGGTCAAAAGGCATGAAGTTAAGCCATAACAAAAAAACTGAGTGAATTAATACATGGCGCGACTATTGCACTGGTAACTCGGACACAAATTATTTTTTCGTGAAACGTGCCGTCTATTCCTGATTTCCTATTTTTTACTATTTTCTCGCGTGTCAAGTGGCATTTTGGAGAAGGAATTATCTACTTTATTTTTTGTAATGAAGTATAGTTAATCTCTTATTACAAATCGGTCGAATCAGTACATTTGATATTACGTGAGCTCATTTAATGAGGACCATAATACCCATACATAGGTACTGAAATTCGTTTTTTTTGGCGGCTAGACGCTAACGAATTATTATAACTATGATTTTGCCATTGTTCTTTATTCATTTTTATACGAGCACATAATTGGTTCGCGCTGTTTGAACGACCTTGAATTATGAGTAAAAATAGTAAAGCTTCGTCTGTAGTTGTAGTTGGTGATCTTTGTTGTATTTTCAAATTTATGGCACCAAAGGTGTAATACATCATTGTTACCACTTTATTACGAACAAAAACGATTTCATATAAGCATCATGCAGAGACAACACCTTTTTGGAATTTTTTCTTGGGCGCTTGTGATACAAAATAGTCTCACTAATTGTACCAATGAACGTATAACGTAGGCGTCCTATTCCCCAGTGCTGAGACATTAAATCAAGCTACCTATTATAATTCGAAAAGAGGTCACAGTACACGAAACTAAGCAACTATTATTGCAATTATTTATTGTCGAGTTTGTTGGTGTATCACCACGATCAAAATCTTTGTTAAAATTTTATTGCTTTACCACTTTTTTCTGTTGACCCATTTAGCATAGTAATAAGAGAAGTATAGTAACTCCGTCCAAAGCAACCGGCGTTGCGCGCCCGATCTATGGACGCACACATTCGCATAGTAATGAAAGGTGTGTTGGGACCACCAGTGTTGGGTAACGCAAGTGCATCGCGGGATTATGCGAATGTGTGCGTCAGAATACGGAACGCGGCGGGTGCGCACACATACAAGTCGCGCCGTTACGTTTGTATGGAGTTACCATACTTGTCTTATTATACTATGTATCTAGCTTGAGTATTAGTTAGTGTTGTAAAAAACTGCTCGGGTCTATTTATGTTACGAGTCGAGCTCGAGTTCAAGTCTGTTTATGTAACGAAGCGAGCTCGAGTCTAGTTAGGTATCTACTGAGCGGTGAAGTAGTTTAGTGTGTTAACCTGTAGTATAATTAAGTATTGATATTTTTTTAATCACCATGTCGGGTTTTATTTAATTCATGGGCAATAGAAGTTGTTCAGTAAAATTGAACCCTGCTGATCGTACTTTATAGAGTATAAGTCGCTTCGAGTTGAGTTTTGGGACTCGAATTTTGTTCAAAACTCGAGTTGGATTTACGACTCGAGTTTTATTTAGACTCGAGTCCGTGCTCTGATGACTCGCGCTCGATTCGACTTGGACTCGTGAGTGTTTTAAGCCACTGAGCCGTACAAAATTCAATTGAGTTTATAAATGTAGACTCCCGGAGTAGTTTTTTACAACACTAATATTAGTACAAGCGGCCAATATTTTTTTAGGATCCCTTATGAGTAGAGTAGGTTCTACTTCTAAGTTTTAATACGAATGTCAATAGCGCAGTCATAACACCTATTTCCACGAAACTTTCTTTTTTTAAATTACACTCTGTTTTCAAAATTTGAAGCATGAGTAAATGTACCTAAATTCTATCGTTACTAGCATTCATTTACAAATGTTAAGAAATGTTGTTCACTTACAAACGGGCTTTGAAAGATAGTCAAGATACACATTTTTTTTAAATATAAAAAAATATTTAATCTTAAATTGTCGAACAATTAAATCACCAAGGTGGTAAGTGATTTAATTTTAAAATATCTGTTTTTAGTTATTCACTTCTTATTTAATTTTAAATTTATGCTTCGTTATGTAAATCCATTGTAATAATCAAGTTGTGGGTGAAAGGTTGGTGTCGGTAATAAAAGTACTAATTTGCTTAATTCAATTTTAGCACCTTCACTAAACAACACAGTATCTATGATGGTATGCAGAATCCGGTGCCATAGGGGTTTGAACGGTGGATTTGGCGTAAAAGACAAACAGGTATCCTATATGCCGTGTATGCTGAAACTGTCTTTCAAGGATATTGTTGACAAAGATGAGAAAGCGGTGTCTTTGGTAATACATGGGACCCCTTTTTTTTCCGCTTTCAAATGTAAGTGTTTTTTTTTTATGGAAAAATGCCTTATTTCTGGTTTGTCGTAATATTGTTGTTGGCGACTTCGGTGCCCCAGTCGCCAATCGCTGACGCTAATACTGTAGATACTGCTGCCTGAAGAGGCCCCTGAGTCTAATCCTGTCAGGACCAATTAAGCAAAACTTTCTAAGTTGGTTCTGGTCTGGGGTCTACTCCCGTCCGTCCGAAACAATTACTGTCAAATAAGCATCGAGTATATAACCAGAAATAGAGTTGAAATGTCATGTAATTTGTTTGAAAACTACTCTGCCATATCATTACTGTGACAACTGCGCTCTGATTGACTAGCCCGAGTTAGAAACAATTGACGGGTGTCGTCAACTGTTTCACTTCAAATCGACCAGTTAACTTGAGCTTTGCTATAATGGACGAAAATTGCAAAATTACATATTTAATATTTAATTACCGATGAAGTGTGATACCGTTTGTTTTGTAATTAGATGTTTTGCTGTTTTTCCCACACCACCGAATAGAACAGCACGGTATTGTTAAAAATATTATCTTTATTACAATAAATAACAGAATATTTTTTGGAATATACGGAGACGTACACACAGGTCAGTAGTTACCAGGAATATATGGCCTTTATCTCGTTTCTATTTCTGGTTGTATACTCGATGCAAATAAGTAATACTCGATCAAATTAAAATCGGGTGTGGTTGTTTGGCACATTATACTGTGTTGCATGGCGCATCTGTTGGCATATACGCATCAAAGTCTTCTATTGCAGCCCCCAACGAAGTGGTCGAGAATGCAACGCCCTTTGTAATTCGGCACGCGGCGAGCGGAAATGTGCAGTATTTAGACCCTGAATCCATGCCGTATCTCGGGTATTTGCCTCAGGACTTCACGGATAAAGATGCTCTACAGTTATACCACCCTGAAGACTTGATGTATATTAGACAGCAGTACGAGACTATCGTTAAGGAAGGCGGTGTGTCGCTTTCTAAAGCATACAGGTATATATTTAATTAAACTATACAACAACTTTTGTTTTACGTCATATTTACCAGTATCCTATTTGGTTGCCATTGGCATTTTAATTTGAAAACCTTGGAAAATCTTTATTATTTTTGATTTCCCTAACGCAGCGAAAGTGGTCTGAGGGAGTTTGTTACGATTGAGATTGTATTTTTGCTTTTAATTAACATTATATAAAGACAAAGCAAAACAAAAAATACATTAACAAAAACTTATTTTCCGTAAAAAGGTGTCTTGGCGATATTTAAACAACACTTATTAGCACACAAGATTTCTAGTTCACTGCTGCCCGTCGCTATATGAAAGTTTGATAATAAACAAACTTTCGCCCTCGCGTTAACATTTTACGAAAAATCTTTCAATCGTAATGTTTAACAGTTACATAAGGTAATCATATGTTACTTAGAGAAAGTTTATTTACGAGTATTTGTTTATTTATTGGTTCAGCAACAGCTTAACACACTTAACATTTACAAACATTACTATAATAATATAAGATTAGTGTGTAAGCCAGTTACAGCCGAACGCGTCATTGTCATAATCACTTAAACAACGTAATTAAGAAAATAAAAACATTGAAAATTATTCTATTAAAATATACATTTCATTCTTATTGTTTACATCCAACTAAAACATTAAATAAAAAAAAAACTTAAAAAAAAGAAGTTGTTTAGTAACATGTGCTTAAAGTCACTATCACTTTTCTTATTACTGTTTGCCCGACTTGACCCACTGCCGGGTATAGGCCTCCCTTAGCATAGTATGATAAGACGAGTAGTGCAACGCCTCGGCGTGTCAATGCCTTTGTGACAAACCTATGCTTCAAGCGACGTACATTATTATTTTAATTGTACCTTACATGTTGTAAACATAATTTGATAAAATAAGGTATTCATCACAGTAATCTCGTACTACGTGGGGCGCATTATAAGTTTCCGGAATGAATAAGAAAAAATACTATAAATGGTCAGAAATGAATTTATTGTTTCTCAAAATAAAATTTTTGTTGTTCACAGCAGTGGACGGACGTCCATCGCGAAATTCGTCACTAAGATTCAAAGGACCGCGTTTAAATTCTGCAAACCAGCTATAAATAGTCGTTTTGCATGATGCTTCATCGCCAAAAGCAGCTTGAAGCCGAGCGAAGCTCCGCTGAGCTGTTCGATTACGCTTAAAGTCATACTACGAAAATTGTCACGAGTTAAATCCATGGTGATGTAGACAACCAATTTCTAAAATGACGCCACAATGTAAAAACAAGTGACAGTCAGATGAAACAAACTGTATTCTACAGCCAAAGAGTTCCGTTCTCAAATGTTGTAATTACTTTTTAAAAATTGTTTACGTAAGTGGCCAGTTCCGGAAACTTATAGTGCGCCTTATTCAAATGCGGTAGTTAAATGTTGATATTTTTAAACCAGTATCGCGGATTGGTACTTCGATTATGGTAGTATGATTATGAAATAGAAAGGAACTGCTGAACAATTCTGAAATTGAGGCACTCTTGTTCAAACAACAATAAACACACCATTTTGAAGTAATTTTTTTAACGCCTAGCGAAAATTTTTTTTATTCTATAATGGCGCGTCTGATGACCCGCGATGTGCAACTCGAATGCACCGCGAGAATGTTGTAATGTCTGCGTCACACATACAAGCCGCGTTGCTACATTTATATGGAGTTACACACTTGTCTTATTATACTTATTATATATGTCTTTTTTTTTACTCATTGGCGGTGACCTTTTAGGATTTCGCTAGTATCAGTTGAAATAAACAGTGCCTCTCGATGATATTACAGTTTGCTCACTGGTGCCTCTACCATGAGATTACAGTGACACTTATTGCTAGCGACCGCGTAAAAAGTTTGTATGCTAAATGTTATTTCTTCTTGTGACTGCTAGAGACGCTGTATTTTGTCATACAAATTTGTGAAGTAATTTACGCGGTCGCTAGCAACTGTCACAGTAAACTCGTGGTGGAGGCCATGTTATTGAAAATTTTCAAAACTGAACCTTTGATATAAGTGACAACCTTTGATATAAGTAAATGAGTTAGCATAACGTAACTTTCTAAATTGTTATGTATTATCATCATGCCTAAGGTCGAGAGTCAAAAATTTGTTATGAAATGTTATAATTTTTTCCCAGGCTCATCGCTCAAAACGGCGATTTTGTAAAAGTGGAAACAGTGTGGTCTTCTGTCGTAAACCCTTGGTCGCGGAAACTCGAGTCAGTAATTGCTAAACACCATACAATTGAGGTAATAAAATCTTATCTTGAGGTATTTTTTATTCTTGTAAATTTTATTATTGTATGTAATTATGGCTCTTGCTTGTGTGTACAGATGAACTTAATATAGCAGACCTTAATAAAAGTTTGAAACTGGATTTTATTTCAGGGTCCATCAAATCCCAATGTATTCCAGTCACCCGACCCCGATAAAGGATTGAAGTTGTCCGAAGACGAAAGAGCCAGAGTCCAAGCGCTGAAAGATAGCATTATTAGACTACTCAGTGGAGTATGTATACTATTCAGTTTTTATTATCATATATCATATTTAAAAGGTTTCTAATTTTCTTTGTGTGTGTTCTTCTATGCTGATTTTCGTGTGAAGTCAGGTGGAAGCCAGCGAACACAAAAAAACCTGAGGGTAAAACCATGTAAAATAAGTGAAGTATGGTAACTCTGTACAATTTAACAGCGCGGTTTGTATATGAGCGCGACTGTTGCGCGCCGTGTACTGACGCAACATTCGCATAATATTAAAAGGCTCGTTGGAACAACCAGCGTTATACAACACAAGTGCATCGCGAGATTATGCGAATGTGGTGGGTCCATACAGGGTTTGTAGCGGGCGCGCACACATTCAAGTCGTGCTGCTTCGTTTGTATGGAGTTACCATAGTTGTCTTATTATACTATGGTAAAATTTTGTTACACATTGGTCTGGTAGCTAATCAGATCCGAGGCAATTTACCTAGAGTAACCCACGAAAATTACTACATAAATAAATCTTTAGCGAAAGTTGTCTAAGTAGGAAGTTGTTAAGGGCATCTTTTGCTGTACTAAATTTACAAATATATATACGGGGTTATTTGTAAAATATTAATAACCTCACAGGACTGTATTAATAGCATCATAAACAATTTTTGTTCCATGATTCTACAAAACAATAAATTTTCCAAAAATAAACTTTTAAGTTTTTGTTGTGCTATCTGACTTTATCAGATCTGTATCTAGTAGTTAGGTAGTAAGTTCAAACCTTCAAGCCACCCCACCCGCGCTACTGCGTTTTTTTATTTTTTTATTTATAATTTCAAGTGACGGGACGGAACAAGTTTGGTACCTGATGGTAAGCTACACGCCTGTCCATAACAACGCAAAGATCTGAGGGGTACTGCCACTGCGCCCGACACCCTGAGCATAAGTTGACGCCATTATATCACCGTTTAGAGCGATATATTTAAATATTTTTATTTTTGTATGAAAGTAAAATGTGCAAGCATCCTCCCCGACTTCCACCCGCGCTACTGCGTTTTTTATTTTTTATTTATAATATCAAGTGCCGGGACGAACAAGTCTTGCACCTGATGGTAATCTACACGCCTGTCCATAGCAGTTGCAGTGCCATTCAGAGCTTAAAATCGCAAAGTGCTGAGGGGCACTGCCACTGCGCCCGACACCAGAGGCACTGACACAGCGTCCGACACCCTAAGACATAAAGTGACACCATTATATCACCGTTTAGAGCGATATATTTAATATTTTTATTTTTGTATGAAAGTATAAAAATGTGATGAATTATGCTGTCATGGAACAAAAGTTGTTGTTTATGATATTAGTAATATAGTCTTGCGAGGTTGTTAGTATTTAACAAATAACCCGGTATATGATTTGGAAATTCGTAGAAATCAGTTCATGTAGGGCTAGCATGACAGTGTGCGACTTGCACGAGAGCGACATAAAGCGCGCAATACTGCTATTCTCGCATAAAGAATAACAATATCTCGCACTCTTATGCCGCTCTCGCGCAAGTCGCGCCCTGTCGTGCTAGCCCTACTGGGGGTCTTGCTTTTTACATGAGCACCAAATACATATGTTTAAAGCCTTATGACTGAAAGGGGTGACTCTACTTATTAATATGAACAACTTTTATTGTAGGCACCCCTCTCGCAAACACACACACTCACATTTTGTAATAATTTCATTTCTTATAATGCAGTAATTGAATTCGGTACTGAATACAAATTATATATATATTTTTCCAGCCTCTTAGTACCACGTACAGAACATTAATGTGTAACTGTTCCAGGTCCTTACAAAGCCAGCAGAAATGGCTAAACAGCATATGAGTAAACGCTGCCAAGACCTCGTTTCGATCATGGAAAGTCTCATGGAAGATAAACCCAAGATTGAAGATCAATTGCGCCTAGATTTACAAGATCCTGACAACAGCTATTATGTACGCAATGTAAAATTTTTATCAGCCCATGACAGGCCATAGAATATTGATCAAGATAAGTTTTAGGTGCATATATCCGTCGAATAGCGGGTTTACCAAAATATGTCGAAATCAGAAAAAGCTAGAAGCTCCTGCATGTAAAGTAGCACAGCCATTATAGTTTTTTAAGCGATATGCGATGCAAAGAGCTTTTTAACGTCACTTGTATCAATTTACGAAAACGTACCTGTAAATAGTTTTCTTGTGTAGTGCAGACACGCGCTTGGCCCCAGTCTCACCTAGTGTTAAGCGACGATTCGATCGACGATGGTACCCGTTTGTCTTAAAAATGCCCATTCGCTTTAACCTTGTAAAAGATCCACATTGTAATTCTCTTCACACAAAAAAAGGACGCGGTTCTCAATTCGACTGTATGTTTTTTTGTATGTATCTTACACGATAACTCTTTTTGGTCCCATTTGTGGTCCCATTTAAATTTGAAGAAAATATTCCACCTCTAATGGTGGCAAACCGGTTTCGCGCGCTTTCCGGTACTTAACCGATTTCAATAAAATTTGGCAAATAGATGTAATTCCACGATCTTTTGAGGTAGGTGTTTTTAGTACTCTGTACTGAAATTATTTACGTGTACTTTTGTAATTTTTGACATTACCGTGAAAGCCTCCGCTCCTGAAAAAATTAAATAGGGCTTACATGTTGTCTTGCTTGTAATAATATAATCTCCAATTTGATAATTAGTCTACACGCAAGAGTATGGTTGAAATGAATTTGGCATTTCAGGAGTTAGAGTCGGTGATGCTTGGGGAGATTTCGCCGCACCACGAGTACAGTGATAGCAAGTCTAGCACGGACACACCGCTCTGTTACAACCAGCTTAACTACAGTGAAAATTTAAAGAGGTGAGCAAAGATCCCACATTGAAATCTGTATATTTAACCTTTTGGTGGCTGTGGTTGATTCCGCATAACAGTGAAAGTGTAGAATCAATAACTTTGGAAAAAATATAATATATAGTAAAATTGAGGATATACATTGATTAGTGTATGGTGTGAAAACACGACTCCTAAAAATTTACACGATAGAAAAAAAACACAAACTTACCTCGAAATTTTTCAAGAAAACCGCTGTATTCAATAGGTACTTTCGTACTTTGCATATACCAATGATTACTTTTATATAGAATAGAACACGTATACTATACAATTTTTTAAATGGTTTTTATTTTGTAAACAAATAAATTCTGAAATAAATCCAGTGTCCCTGCCGCTCCATCCAAGCAAAATGAACCGTATTAGTACAAGAAAAAATTTTAATTCGAACTGAGGTAGTATCGACTCTTAAATCCTTTCGAGTTTGGTTACTACGGAAGTTAAAACGTTTGAGAAAATAGTTGCTATATTATACATGTATGATTTGTTGTATAATGTAAATGATGTATCATTTGTTATTATTTGATGGTATATTGTATATACTAGTAAACTGATTTTAACTATTTACAGGTTTTTCGACTGCCAGGATCTATTCTCTCACGATAACTATCACAAAAGCACTGGTGATAACATTTTGGGTCACAAGGAAAAGATTCCAAGAGGGTAAGGTTTAACTCAGTTTAACATTAAAATTGTGTAGGTTTTAATGTTCGAAGTTGAACTTGGCATCGCTTCAGACTTGTTCACTGGTACTATTATCACTTTCAAGGTAATTTGTATGAACAAAATGTCACCTTGTATAACTAGAAAAATCCTTTAACTAATCATCACTGATTTAGCTTGGTTAGTAACCCACTTTTTGCATGAGATCTTATCGAAATTTTTAAAAGGGGTGAAACCAAATAAATTCTTTAGAAAAGGAAATCTTTAGATTGCTTAAACTTTTAACTTATGGAAGAAAACTTTTCTTTTCAACAGAAGATGCCTGTCGCCAATAGCGCAACTTTCAGGTGACTCTTACGAGTTGAGTTCGTGTAGCTCGTGTCCGGTGCGGGACAGCAGCCCCGACTCTTACAGTAACCACAAGCGATTGCGTCTAACTGAGTCGCTACTCATGAGGTCAGTATAGTTTTAGTCCGATAGATTTAAACATCCCCGCGCATGATGTCTGGGGTCATTCAGAGTGTAGGAGAGGATGTGGCGACGGGTGCGGGCGCGCGTGTCTTGCCGTCATCTCTTTCACAGTGCCGAAGCGGCTACGAGCGGGTAGATACACACGTCGAAATCGCAAACAGACGGTAGATCAGGCACTGTGAAAGGTACGGGCGGACCGAACCAAAAGATCACCTGTCTCGAGACAGGCGCCGGCGCGCTCGGCCTCCGTGATCGCAACGAGCGTCTACGTACATTTGATTTACACGCACCAGCGCCGGTCGTCACTCTGAATAAGGCCACTGGTGTGCCCGCCATTTTATATTGTTCATATTGTGTAAATCGGACTTTCTCTTTTCCGACTGCTGTGTATACGTACTAAGACAGTTGTCTTTTTTTATTAAAAAAATAAGTGCGCATTTGATCTCCATCCACGATGGAATGTGACGGTGAGGTCGACGATGGAGCATGCACACCTAAATAATTAATGCCTATTCACTTTCGCCTTGAAAAGGTCCGAGTTATACCGTTCAGGGAACAAGTCGGCAGACAGGGAATTCCACGCCATAGATGTTCCTCATATAGATGTGGAAGCGTTTCGGTGCGAATCCTTGGAATATCCATAACATAGTAGTATTAAACAGTAGTCATTAGTAGGTGTACGTATAGTATAGTAGTTGTTCTATGGCAGTGTATTATTTTTGTTACGTGAAAACAAAAGGCTTGGAGCTCCTGAAAACAGTAAAAAGGAGGAAGCTGCATTACTTCGGGCACATCATGCAGAGTGATAAATATTCTCTACTACAACTCATTCTGCAGGGAAAAATTCAGGGCTGCAGAAGACGTGGTCGTAGACTAACCACGTGGCTTCAAAACCTTGCAGAGTGGTTCAACATAAATACCACAGAACTGTTCAAAGCCGCAACTTCACTCACTCAAATTGCCATAATGACAGCCGACCTCTGGTAGGAGATGTCACCCCAAGAATAGGAAAACAAAATAAATTATTTACTACATTTTCATATTAAAAATTAAATTTACTTATACTTGATGCGTAAAACGATAAATTTCGTGTTTTGTATCCATGTCGTACCTACTTCGCGTGTACAACCAAAGAGTACCTTGAATATACGGTTTACTTTTCTAAATACAGGCACAATGCCGAAATGGAGAAGGAGCTGATGAAAGTGCATCGCGAGATCCGTTCGACCAGTAAGGGAGAGCGCGAAAAGACGTCCAATGACACCAGAATGAAGAAGAAAGAGCATTTAGCACGATGCAATGCTAAATTTCAACCCACCTCTGCCACTGCGGAAACTGGTCGACTTAAGGTACGAATATGAAATTATTTATATTTTTCCAGTAATTTTAAACAGCTTATAACAACGATTTACTTTATAGGTACATAAAATGTATGGTACAAAATACAGTGTCAAAGATTAGTTTTACAGGAGAATGGGACATAAACTTGATAGTTATGTAAGGCATTGGAAGGAAACGGATGCGACAAGCGGAGGACCGAGCGAAATCTTCGCAATGTCGCAATGGGGAGGCCTATGTCCAGCAGCGGACTACAATAGGTTGATGATGATATTGAAATAATATTTTTTCATATTTCTTTTGCATAATTTTGTTTTGACTTGACACTGAAACACGAATAAGGGGACTTAAGACGAAATGTAATCGTGGTTGCCTAGTGATTAAGCGTGGGAGGTAGGCGCGGAGAAATTCCTTGCACGATATTTAAACATGTGCATTTTAGAAATATACTAAAGTTTTTTTTATATAAATCAAGTGACGGGACGAACAAATCGTGCGCGGGATGTTAAGCTACACGCCTGTCCATAACAGTTGCAGTGCCACTCATAGCTTTGATCGCAAAGGTCTCAGGCGCACTGCCACTGTGCCCGTCACCTTGAGACATAAATTGACAAGTCACATTTGCCTGTAATTTCAAAACCGAAACACAGTAATGCGACTTTACTGTTTGACGTAGAAAAGATAAGGTGGCGGTACTTCTCTGGACGAACTCTTTCACAAGGAGCTCTGCTGCTACTGTCTTATAAAAATATGGTCATAGTCTGACGTATTTATTACGGAACACGGGAGAGAAAATGTATTTGGGATATCTCTGTAACAATCGAATGAAAGTGATTTTTTCTGAAAATGAAAATTTTGCGGAACTTACTGATTTTGTATCGAGGCAATTTAGTATTCAATATTATCAATTTAAAAAATACGTTGAATTCGAATCTTTCAACGTCGAAAAAACGGTTTACCTTGTCGTTGATATAAGTCTATTTTGTCTCACTTCACGTTAAGCATTTTTCCTTTAACAGTCAAATAAGGCAAAACGTTCGTCGAAACCGGCGGAATCTGATAAGATGCATAAGCACCATTGCTCCTCCCGCCGCTGTCCGCGTACCACCGCGACCTCGCCAGTGCAACATTCTTCCACTATTACCACTACTGTTGGTGAGTTATTCAATTTTGTTTATTTGCACTTAGAAAATTATAACAACATTACAACAGTAATTATAGTACAATAGGCTAATGTACCACAGACAGGCGTAGGATAGAAAATTAGATCCAAACGGGGTGCAATCATAGAAGGAAGGAAGAGGAGTGTATAGAATATACACTTAAATAACGATAACAGTACGCGTCAACGTAAACGGCATACATTACTTATTTTGCAGTCAACAACACGCTGGGCACGTTTTGGAATATGGACCATCGTTATCGTAAGTGACATAAAGTTGATTTACCAATATTATATAAATCCTCAGAAATACCTCGAAAACCGTCACCATATTTTGATGTTATATCGTTGATGAAATATCCTCAATTAAATCGATTATAGATATGATTTTAAGGTATGCGTTTCTTGAGTATTCAATCTACTGCCATTAATAAGGAAAACTAGATTACGTATAATTTTCTGGATATAATTGAATCCCGCAATAGGTTTCATTATTTCCCGATTCTCATTTTATTTTCCTCATATCGCAATAGTACACTATTACAAAGACCGGGAAGAAAGATATGCGAGTTAGGCAACCACCATTCCTAACAGTAATAGTAGTAGTAACAGTATCATATTGCATTCTTCAAACAACTCAAGGAAATGATACTTATATACAGGGTGGAACAGAACGAACAACAAAGCCGAAAACTGTGAAGTCTTAAATATTTCTTGTCTTAAAGTTTGGAGACAACTACCGGGAGGTACTCAAGGCAAAAACTTTGTAATTTAATACGTCGTTGACCTCCGTCGTTGATCAGCACCCCATCAGTCGCTTTCTTTGATCAATCACTTTCTTTGATCAGTCATCATGTGAATGATGATTAATTATGCGGGTATTTTATTGTATTACTTTGAGAGTAATTAACACCCCTAAATTCCGTGTTTGACGACCTAATTACATTTACCGAAAAAATGCACCTCTCATAGAATCTTCGGGAGACATTTTGTTTCTAAACTATGCGTTGTCATAAACTACCTACAACAACTTAAGAAAAGTAAAGTTTTCTAAGTGACCTTGTCAGGAGTTCAACTCATAATGCCTGCGTCATAAGATAATACTAACTTAAATAAACATAAGTAAATTTAGTAAACACGTTTTACAACATGCGTCAAGTACTCAAATTATGATAGTCTCCTAACCCTTAATCCGGCCCTAACGTAAAATAGTAAATTGAGGCAGCCAATCACGTCACTTATAACCGCTTGGAGATTAATAGATGGACGCTTGATACCTGTTATCTGTTTTTGGTAGCATAATCGGGAGATCGTTTTCTTTTTGTACTAGTAGATTTTTCAGTGCATTTGGAAATAGTTTTAATTTACACTACAAGAATTTACTAACTTTAAAACGAAGAGTTCATTTTAATGAGTACAACATTTGAAACTAAAATTTCTGTTAACTAGGGCTGAATAGTTCAGAAAATTCTAATAAATGTAATGTAAAAATGACGAATTACTTTTCGACGCTGAATTTAAACACGACATCTCGTTCAGCCGTTGCCACTGACAGGTGTGGGGCTCGGTGGTGCCTTATTATAAATATAATTCCTACTACATTTTCATTCAAACTGACTGCGTAAACGCATTTGTTCTAAGCTGTCTCTGTTCAAAAGTGCCTCCTTTTCCCCTATATTTCACGGCACGCGATTATTAATTGAAATGGGCTGAAAACACATTTTGAGAAAACGTGTTAACATTTTCGCTATCCACATGATAAATTGGCTGTAAATCGTACTGTATTGTTATGTCGTTTTTCTTTTGATTTAAATATAAATATTATATATAAAGTAGTTTGTAATGGCTAAATTTGGCCTCTAATCACCGGGTGTGCCATAGATCACCATCTCACTCATTATATATAACTAACTTATGCACAATTGTGTTTTCCGCCTTTTAGTATTACTTAAATATTTTTTAACCGTAGCCCTTTTTCAAACTAAATTTAATATTTTTTAACCGTAGCCCTTTTTAAAACTAAATTTAAAAAACAAACTCACGCACTACACTGAAAAAAAACGAGCTAGTCTTGGGTATATAACATTTTTCTTTAGTCACTTCGATGTTGTATGCAATGGTTTAGTAAATTTTTAACGTTGTGGAAAAAAATAGTCATCAAATTAAATTTCTAGAAGTAATTTGCTTTTAATTTGTAATGTGACATAAAAGAGGTTCTTCGTGTTTATTATTCAAAAGAAAAGTGAACATTTCTAAGCATGGTTGAGAAAATGAATTCATCTACGAGAATTGGTTCTTCTACGCCGATTGCAGTAATCATAGCTGAGTCAACAATTGACAAAAGTAAAATAAAATCAGACATTTTTATACTTAAAGATGAACCAGAACTCACATTACAACGGCCATTTGACACATAATAAAAAAAATGTTCTTGTAACATTTAATTTGTAAGGATCCTTTCTAAAGGTGTCTTCTTTTCTTGTATGTGGATTTAATACTGTTTAACAAAAATAAGAGGGTTAATCAAATACAAACGAGACAATTTTTTTAATTTCGCTTCAAAACAATGCGAATCAATACGAAAAAACAAACGAATGCTAGTCATTTTCCCATATGCTTTCGATGCATATTTTTCCCAACGTACAGGTAATTTGATGTCTTATCTTCGTAGAATGAAGTCGATCGTGTCTGCAGTCAGTTGCGCACAAAGGTCAGGGCGTACTATGAGCTTATAAGCAACCAGTCAAGTTCCATGCAATTCACGTGATATGGTAAAACTGAATTGCTGTAATTCGTATCATGACGTACACAAAGTTGAACGGGAATGGCAAGGCAAGATCATGAGTTTTACTTTTGATACATTAATTATTATTTGCGGCTGGCAAGTTGACATCTAACAAGAGCGAGATGGAACTAATTACTAAATCATATGAAAGAAATCGACAGAAGTACTACCCTGGGAGCATTCAAGCACTAATTAACCGATTGTGTACAAAATGAGAATAATTATATTTTTTAAATAATTTTATTATTGATTGTACTTATTATGTCATATTGAAATATCGGCAACTTTTCAATCCTACTTTCCAATTTGACGTAAGACAAAGTTACATGTCATGTCTAGTCATTATAATTGAAATGAATAAGGTGAGTTTGTAATTTGATAATATAATTGGAACGTATCTTGTATTTTATATTTCATTAATTAATACGTTAATCAATGAAAATGTACGAGTTAAGTCAAATTCGGCACTATTTAAAAATTATTTTACGATTTTCGCTAAGTCAATAAAATTATAAAATAATTGAAATACAATTTAAAAATTGCAATTAGCCTAAAAAGAGAACAAATAGTTATGAAATTGAAAATAGAATAAAACTGAAACAAAATTTTTTAATACAATTAAAATAAAAAAAAGACATTTAAAAAAAACAGTCACGAAGTAACTTTCTTTGAATTGATTATTTTGACAGATGAGACCCTCATGTGCATGGCAAATGACACGACATTGATACGATTTGACTATGAAAGAAAATGTGAACAGATTTCGCATGGGGAACTGCATGCGAAACTGCATGGACAGCGAATTGATTTTGTGAGGTCATAGTACGAATTTGACAGGCTATCCAACTTACGAGCTTAAACAGGATTGCTATAAAAGCTCATGAATCGTAGGGTGGTGATAGATCAGGGCTGTGGGGAGAGTGTTCAAGTATTTTCCAACCGAGTAGTTTAAATTTTTGTTCGGTTAGGGCTGATGTATGGTGATAGGTGTTGTCGTATGCGGTCAATGGGTGTCGTCAACTGATTCACTTCAAATCGACCATTTAACTTGAGTTTTGCTATAATGGACGAAAATTGCAAAATTACATATTTAATATTTAATTACCGATGAAATGTGATTCCGTTTGTTTTGTAATTAGATATTTTGCTGTTTTTCCCACACCACCGAATAGAACAGCACGGCATTGTTAGAGATTATTATCTTTATTACAATAAATACAGAATATTTTTTGGAATATACGGAGACGTACACACAGGCCAGTAGTTGGCCTGTCCATATTTCAGTGCAAACGGGAGTTGATATTTATAAGAGCTGTATCGCTAATGTGCTACCAGGAATATATGGCCCATATTTCGTTTCTATTTCTGGTTATACACTCGATGTAGTGTGGTGATCATAAAATAAAAATTCATGTTCGCATTTTTTACGACTTTATATATTCTCTGGTATATTAACCTAACCTCCGGTTAAAAAAGCCGACCTCACAAGTCATTCATCCCCTAGTTTGCCACCCTGAGAGGTGGAATATTTTCTTGAAATTTAAATGGGACATCTGAGGTACCTTCTTTCCAACAAAAAAAGAATCATCAAAATTGCTTCACAAATGGCGTAGTTATCGCGTAACATACGTACAAAAAAAACATACAGACGAATTGAGAACCTTCGCCTTTTTTTGACATCGGTTAAAAATACGATACATAAATAATAAAAAATATAGTCACGAAAATAGTAGAATAACGGGTGACAAGTTTTGCGCTTCATGCAAATTCTATGAAGTGACGATATCCGTAAACTACGTTTTATCTAAGAGCCATCATCTTAAGAGTAAAGTCCAGGGTGCTGTTGACTACTCTTCCAAAAATTATCCACATGACAATGCATTATCTGCCCCACAAATGCGATACATAAATAATAAAGCTGCGTAAATAGTGGTGTTACGGGTGACAATGTTTTGTGTTCTTCGCACATTGTGTCAGGTCGTGATTCGCGTAAACCACGATTTATTTATGACGTGCTATTTTATGAGTAAAGCCCAGCATAGTGTTGGCTATTCTTCCAAAAATAATACAGATGGCAAGAGGGTTTGACATCAGAAACAAACGACCTTAGCCTGCTGCTTCATTAAGTAAAATACTTAACGACATTTAATTTAAAGATCTTTCTACAATTCGTTGAAAATATGAAAAGAGATCTAAAATGAACACATAAATTACTCAATTATTTTATTACTGCTCTTCCGTCCTGATTTCGCTTATCACTTTTTACGTGAGTTAAAGTAAATATTTAGTAATTTTATGTGATAAACTTAAAAATAATTACATATATTTCACAGCGGCACACTACCCTATGCCAACCGTGAACAATTTGAATGCGTTCATCTTGGGCATTCCGCAGCAGATGCCTATCATGGGACCCATGACTAGTATGCCAGGTATTTTTAACACCGTTTTAGTTTACCTAGCATGTAACTGTGTAACCAATTCTAAAGCACAATTTTTACCCGCTTCTACGTATTGTCACTATCATTTAAATCAATGTCGTTGCGAAATCGTCGTAGATTACATGGTGCACTATTTCTGCACAAATTTGTTAACGGAACCTTTACGAGTGAGGAGATACTTCCAAGCATTTTTCGCTCAGTTCCGCGGAATTTATGTCATTCGGTTGTTCTGTCCACCAGCTTGTAGAATCAATGTATTTGAGCATGCCCCTATTCCTAGTGTTTGCTGTCGTTACAAGAATTTCTGTGTGCAATTCCTGATCTCGATGTGTTTTTGATTTCCTTGCAAAGTACTAGGCCAATATTATGAAATCTATATTTGGGACTGCATGGAGTGATTTGTTTACTGTTTTTTTTTTTTGTTTAATTTTAATGTATTATTAATTTTTGTCATGTATCCATAAATCTATCAAATGTAGTTCAAAATTCTTCTTGGGTTTACGTTATTGTAATATATATATGCAGTTGGTGTTCCTATCAATAATAAATAAATTGTTAATGTTCCAAAGTTAAATGACTATGTAGTGTTGCAAAGCTGACGTTTGTAAATCTTTAAAATTCTGTGGGCCCGCCAAACTATTGGAGATATAAAATAGTTGTAGAAACATAAGTTCTTTAGAGTCCTGGGAATTAGAGTGTTTGATTTAATTTTTTTATTACTTCAATCAACTCACATAAATCTGCTGATGAATATAATATTTGAATTGGTTTTTTGGAATCTGAATTAACACCAGAGATGCTAATGGGGCTGATATGTCCAATAATGATCAAAGCGTCTAAATAAGTAGAGATTTAAAAAAAAGTGATTAAAGTCATTGTCAGTAAATTTCATCATAATGAAGTATTGTTTATACCTTTGTAACAAAACGGTCATTAGTATGTACCTCCTATGGCGCCATTGAGGCTGCGGTGTGACAAACAAGTATGGCCGTTCCTAACGCGTGATTCCTAAATTCGTGTAACTATTGTATTTTTCAACGAAGATCAGTTCACTTTTGACCAACAATTTATGTTTTTTAATGCACTCCAAAAAGCAAGTGCGGTCCAATTTTTAGGGATAATAGCTGTTATCTAACAACCTGCATGTCGACAGGCATGTTTCCCATGTACTACACACCGGCCGCGCCCATAATGACCCCTGGCGCTGAATTAAGCCAAAACGCCGGAAATAGCTCCGCACAATACCCTGCACCAGGTACTATATTGATTTAATATTTTTATCTAAACAATATGTATTATTTCTGTTCCAACTGCGTTCGCATTACTATCAGCGTATTTGACTCGAAATTTTTATTGTTCCCATCATCAATACCAAATCTTTAATGGTCTTAAAGCCAGTGGTGGATATGCTGCATGGTTCTTAGCAAAATGATCCTGAATATGTACTGGTACCGTCACGTAACAGAAGTGTTTTAGCTCCTGAATTCTGAAATTATATTATTGAAGGAATTTCAATTATTTTCACATTTGGTTAACAATTTATATAAATTTGTATTGAACTGATATAAAATTATTTGTAGTAAAATTACTCAATTAAATTGCTTAATTATTATGTTCGATCTTTGTATTAATTTGTTATAATTATTAACACAAAGATCGAACACTGAAAAATTCCTTCTATTCGGCCGGATTCGAACCGACGTCTTCTTGCAAACCGTGTCATACGCTATGCCAACTAAGCCACAGTACGAATCTGCGACCTTACGAATTTTTCTATGTGCTTGTTGTCGGATCTTTTGTATTTGGTTTACAACCACTTTTAAGCCGTAGCGCCATCTATTTTCCAACATATTTTTAATCTTCGTGAATAATTTATTTTGTTTCAGTTCTGTTTTGTTGCAATAATATATAAAGTCTTTACAATAAAACTTAAGTACTCGATTCTTGGGTGTCCGTTTTTTCTGCAAAGGAGTGTATATCCTAAGCTCTGGGGCATATTATTGGTTGCTATATTGCTAGTGACAGCAGAAGATCGAGGCAAGTGGAAGATCTAAGCTGACATTGTATTACAGTGGAATATTTTAGAGGTTATTTTGAATGTTACACTTGTATTGAACTTTATTAAATAGCATCTTTTATAACAGTAATGATGTACGGGTCACCGTTCATGTATGCGCCCGTCAACCCAGCCCATGTCGCGTACCCGATGCAGCAGAACGTGGTCGCTCACACTATGCACTATTCACACAGTACCCTTGGTTTGGGAAGAAGTAATTATGAAGAGGTAAGTCGCTTAAATTATCTTATATTGATTACTTTAGTACGGTAAAATTGCACATACTCAATTCTAACCTATGTTACGTATGCTTAAATATGTTTTATATGAACTACACTTAACTAAATTGTCATTAAAAGTAGAACAGTCAGCTGATTAACACCAAAGCAATCAATTACATATTCAATACACGTGCAGTGTTGCTCACTATACTGAAGAAAATATCGCTAGAAATAAGCTTTAAAAAGCGCTAGTTGTTGCTAAAATGGTTTTTCCAGTCCATATGAAAATCTACTCTTGTGGTAGTCTTTATTATAAGGTGCATACCATTGGCAAGAACTTTATGGTCATAACAGATACGAGATCACCTATACATATGAAATAAGAGATCTACCATATCGAGTAGTACGTTCACAAAGTCGCAATGATAAAATCATTCATATAATTAAGATAATTTCATTCATTCATTTGTAAAATCTTGTTAAAAGATAAAACTGAACTAAACAGGCGCCAAAAAACTCTAAATTTTTTTGTCGCTACATAGATATAAAATGTCGCTTTTGACATCAAAATGTAGCTTAGTTTAGTGACAAAGTCGCTGAGAATACTGATTTGCTCGATTTTTGACGATCGTAACTGTCGGTCGATATGGTGCGTTCTGACGATCACTAGGTGCCCACACATTTGCCCCAATTTTGACGATCGTTACGATAGTAATAGTAGATAACTGATAACTTTTTAGCAATTGACAAAATCGCGAAAGACAGAAAAACTGCCGCCGAACGGTTACCTTGCTAGTCGAAATCGAGCAAATCTGTAGACACCTTAAATTGACAAAACTGCGAACGTGTCAGTTATTTTACCTATCCATACATGCTCAATTGTTATACGATAGTAAGTTATCTTGGTTGTAGTTTGTTTGGCTGAAAATACCATTCCTATATAGCATTAGATATTTCAAGACAAAGATTATGCTGTTATACTGTTGCTTTATTTTTAATATGTAACTGTGCATATTTTACAATTTTATTTATTACACTTTACACTAAAATTTCAATACAGTTAATAATATAATTGTTAACTTGGTGGTTTCCTTACATAATACATGATATAATACCGGTCTGTGATTGATTTTTGAAACGTATATTGTGCCAATAGATACAAATAACACGTAAGGGTATATTATTGTAAACAATAATCCTAAGAATCAATTGCTTAACGTGACAGGTCGGACACTGTGTGTAGAATTGATAAAAGCAGCCTTTTATCCATTCTATGCATGGTGTGTGGAATTTATCCAGTTATCAACATGTGCAGGCATGTAAGCAAAATGTACTGCAGAAGACGAAGTCGCATTCTGGCGCTGCATGGCGGGAAAAGATGCGAGCAGAGACTCGGAAACAGTCAAAGTACGGTCACAGAAGCGGTGATAGCAGCTGCTCCGCTATTACATTCAATCGGGTATGCACATATGCCTCTCTGTTGTTTCTGATATGTACGTGCTTATGTCGTGAATATAGGTGCCATTGTGATTAGTAAATAATATTTAAGCTTTTTATTACGTTTTTTGCGATATTTAAAGCTAACTCGCAGGCATCTCTCAGGCATTACTTTTTATTACATCTAGTGATCATTTAATTTGTCAATTAAATTCTTTATATCACACAGCAAAGTCATACACAGCCACAGCCATTCCACCTTTTTAAGCTGATGGCCTCTGTAAGCATAACTAGGTAGGACATTACTATATCTACAAATTAGGGTCAGGCGGGGTAAGAGGAACACCGGGGAAGAGGGACTTGAAGCCTTAACTTCTCCAAATCCAAAAGGCGGAAATATTAAATTTGAGAACACGAGGTATACATTAACCATTATAAGAAATACGATGACTGTCCTTCTTGAGGAGTTTATGCAGAGTGAGACAATTTGCACGTTTTCGGCAAATATATCATAAGTATTAAATTTAACGTAATTATTGCTAAAACAAGTAAAACTGATAATAACAAGGGCAAGTTTAGTGTACTTTGAAATAACTATTTCTATTCTTCTTAGAGCTCAGAACATTTGACTCAAATTAAAGTATGTTCTTACCCTGCCTAACTATCGTAACTCGTATGTCGCGGTAACATTCTGATTGCGATTGCTAATTTGGGATCGCGAAACCGATGCAATGTATGGATGCCATAGATTTTGACGCGACATAATGAGATGTAAAATTTCAACTACTAAACAAGCAAAAGCTTATTTTATTTAATTCCAAATATATTTAAGGAAAATTGTAGAATATTTCCGTGTATATTTTTTTGTTATTCCAATAATTATTGACATTTCCACACGCTTAAGCAATGTACTCATTAATCTGAATTAAATTTTTTTTAATCGTGAGTGCATCCTTTTTGAAGAAATGGGCAATCATTTTTTCTTTTGTTTTATTAATTCACAACAGGTTTGTAAGATACAACACAACCGCAATATCTGTGGAGTAATAAAAAAATGACAATCTGAAAGCATAAAATATTGTAAAATAGTTTAAAATGATACAAGACATAAAATAAATAACTATAATGAAAATAGTAATCTCACGATGTACTGAACGATCGTATGTGGAGTGACGATTTTTCACAGATATAGCTGTCGGGTTGTGCTTCACATTGAAAAACGTTTGCCACTGTTCAAAATTTCGTATAAGGGCCGTATGCACGTTTCATGTATATGCACGTTTACTGGATTACCAGGCGCGATTCAGTCGAATATTTTGCAATCTATTTTACTTCAATAAAAACATTGACCTACAAATAAATGAACGTCGGGACTTGTGTAATGATGGCGGAAAAGGACGTTTTAAAAATAGAATTTATTATTACAATAAAAGACGTTTAATTCAAATCAAAAACCCTACAAGACTAAATTACAAAAAATATGCAATGAAAAGTAGAAAAGCATTACGTTACATAAATCTAAATAGTAAGCTACTTCGCCATAGGTGGGAGTCAGCATTTTCCAGGCTTTATGCCATAGTAACTCGGGTCCGTGCGTAAAAGTGTCCGAACTTAGAGGGTATTAAATCTTATCGACCGACAGGGCGCTTGTGAATCATGCCGTACTGTATTATAATAAGAACTTGTAAAAATTACTTACAAATATGCATATAAATTACAAAAGCAAATCGTAGGATAAGGACAGTTAGCTATTTCATTATTTTGATTTTTGAGTTTCTTTCCGTCTTTTCCGCAAGCAACGACATTGCTTGCGGAAAGAAACCCATTATGTCAATTTTAAATTATCGGAACCACAAGCGATTGAAATATTTAGAAAAAAGAAAATATAGAATCGCTTTGCTATTAATCTTATTTTCAAAATGATTTTTTACTGCTGTTCTCGTTTTACGGCTTGGGGTTACCTATCAGAACTCCGAAATTCTCCGAATTAACATTTGCTCGGATTTTTATAATCCCAAATGATTTTTTTAGATTTTTTAGGAATATTACAAAACAAACTTACGATAACTTATTTTTTTCTTTATAATAGCTACCGAAATTCCCTGAAGGTGAAGTGCGATAGGTTAATTTTATTTTGTTTGATTTATCTGAATATTACATGAAATTGTCAATAATGATATAAAGGCAAGTGATATTATATATATTAAATTGTCTGCTTCGGTGAAAAAGGGTGTAAATTTGAATAGTAATTGGTGCAAAGAATTTAAATCTGAGGATATTGCGTGTTTGTCAGAAAGATCTTCCATTTCTGGCAAATTTATACCAAAATCACCAGCTGCAAGAGCTACCTAAGAGCCTTCGAAATGCAGACAGTAATCAGTTAAAAATTAGCACCTTGTTTACATTTAAAAAAAGTAGAAGTTCAGTCGGAAATGAAGAACTTAAAATTAAAAAGCAAAAGGTAGGTAATGCAACTAATGCAACAGAAGAATAACGGTTTTGCTATAAATCGGTTTTCGAAATTGTGAAAATTTGTGTTTATTTATTTAGTTGGAATCTAGAAATTCGAAACGTCGATACGTTTCTTATATCACGTCGTCGTAACTAACAAACAGAGAGACACAGTTATTTTCACATTTATAATATTTGTATTGTATTATCTGCACAACTTTTTTTTTAAGTGTATATGTATAAAATATTATTTATAAATTAATTAATGTTGACAGTGAAGGCTACTTCCATTACTCATGTGTTCAAGTAGTTTTTACTAGAAGCTAAATATGATGCAGTTTGTTAAGTTTCCAGTAGAAGCTGGATAATATGGCGAATTTTTAGGTCTTTAAATTGTTGCAAGTAAAATTTAAATTTGAATTGCAGTACTGTTCAATTCAAATTAAATGTAGTTTTTTTTTTCATATTTGTTTACATGTCACTTCACTTATATTGGTCTTAGACCATGGAAACTAAAGAACATGTTATGTTGACATATGTATATAAATCAGACCTTATATGTATATGATGCATTTCGACATTGAAAACATAAACATGTTATTGTCTTTGTTTAATTCTTGCGTGCCGTCAAAAAAGATAGCATTACATTGCTCTGTCTCAAACACGGGAATCGAAAATACGTAACGTCATCTTAAATGCCAACCGTGTCCATTTCGCAGTACATGAGGTACATGATACGGTTGTCAAAGGGAAGTATATCAAATGTCAAAACAAATGTTTTTCCAAGTGTTTTATTGAATTATTCGCATGTATTGTAATAAAATGGACAAAAATATTGACAGTTAGAACAATTAAGTATTAATAAAAATTCGTTGCTGCAGCATTACGGGATGTGGCATTTGAAAAAGCTAAATCGACCGAATGTAACATTGTACAGGCTCGTGTTATTTTTCTATCTATAAATCACACAAAAGCCCAAATATTCATGTAATTAGACATATTTAAGTTTATTCATAAATCTTGCCAAAATTTTGCTTTGGTTTCTTCAGATTGCCTGTTTGTTTGTATATTTTGATGATTGTTGTTAACGATTATTTTGACTTGTCACATGTTGTTCTTGGAAGCTTACATTTTATCGATATTCTGTTATTAAAATAATTCAGTACGAGGTTTTTATTTTATTATTATTACTTTTACTATTTAAAGTTTACCTACAAATCAAAAAAGAAAAAAAAATGGTTGGAAATCATACCGCCGTATAATAGTGCCGAATATAAACAATGAATCAAAGACCATCTTGATTTATTTTATTCGCTTCATTTTGAAAAGTCAAATTTTAATATACCTTTGAATGTAACTATTGATTGATTTTGAAGATTACATGATAATGCAATTCCATAATTAGGTTTATTGGTAAATAATTTTATATTTAATTTAGATTAAACAAGACTCATTTACTAGGCATTATCAGTTCCTGAAAACAAAATTATCCACTCGTTTCCGATTTTTTCCCACTGACAACTCTAACTACTAAAAAATTCTTATTTCATAAAGCCAGCAATACAAAGACGGTGAAGGCCAATACCAACGTATAGACTGCCTAATTTGCCTTGCCTTGCCTTGCCATCGTTCGGTGTCACTCGCCTAGCTGACCGAGTGAAGGCGAGCGCTAACGTGTATAGAGCTCGTATGAAGTGTCATGTCACAACTCGCAGTGGCTCGCGAGTACTTGTCTCACTTCGGAAAAGTGTCGATTTTTCTGCACAAATCAAAGGCGCTCGGCCAATAGTAGTCAATTGACTATCATTATTGTCGTCATATACAAATTGAGTATAATCAGATATTTGCATGCTATTTAATATATGCGAAACATGTTTATACTAACGCTGACTCTTGTTACGTCTCCTGTTACACCATGTTTTAAGCAAATAAACGTAGGATAATAATATTGTTATCGATAATATCACTACTTTTATTTATTTCCAAAATTAAATGGATAGAATTAAAGATTCATTTAAATCAGTCACTGATGTTAATTCTATACTAATGCATAAATACAAAAAGCTTACACTATTTGGAATCTGTTTAAAAATTTCGCTATGAAAATATGAATCTTGCGGTTGGAAATGTATAGGATTTATATTTCAAAGTTTTATCTTTTTTATATACTCTCGAATTACAAAATATAAATTTTTTCTGTGCAAATTCACTTTTCGTAATATTTGAGTATTTGGAAACGCAAAACAATAAATTCAAAATTTCATGTGAAATTCCCAGATATTCCCATATAATCTAAAATATTCCCAAATGGAATATTGATCTACTTTAATGAAATGTTTGCATGTCGATAATGACTTATCGATAGATTATGGTACGACACTAAAGAAATCCGCTATTTATTCGTCCAATTTTTGTTTGGGTATGCACGTTCATTCCGTAGTTAGGGTAGCTCCTTTCTTTTATTGTTTTTCCATCCTCTAAGATATTGGTTAACTCCGGACATTTTTTCGTAATTTTTGCATTGGACTCGTCGTCCATTTGTTGGTAGGTAGGTAACAAGTCGTATATCGAAATATAGTTCGAAAAAATTGCGAGAGATGGCGACTTAAGAAGTTAATTTTAGAATATTACTAAAGATGCAGACATAGTTCAATATTATACTGAACTGGTAATCCAATAGTTTCTATTATTATATACACAGCAAAATCGTCACGATTAATTATCTAGGTAACTTGATTAAGCCACCCATATCTAAGTTTAATTGTTCTGCTTTTAGATGGTTATATACCATATCCTTGTGTGACCTTTTAAATTAAAGTAGGTTCAATCGAATGTACCTAACTACCTCGCTATGTTCTAAATGTGTAATTAAGTTTAACATTGCACTATTGTTATTTTTAAATGCTTTGTTCTTCCCACTACGTGGTTGTTTATTTATTTTGTTATAACTTTTTGCATTACTTAGTGGAGCATGATTTGTTCGTTACATTATGGTAAAAATGTTTAGTGAAGTAAATGGTTTCCTTTGCTTCAATTTAGAATGAATGCGAGTGGAATGCCGATTTAAACATTGAGCAAGGTATGTATGGTCATGATACCGCTAGTGAAAAACAATAACATATTGGCTTTGCCATTGGATCATACACTTTTTTGTTTCATACCCTTTTTTGTTTCGTGTATTTTTGAGACCTTGACTAACGTGTGTGGCCTGGAACTATAAACAAAAAATTATTTTTATAATCGCAAATATATCTGTGTTTTAGTTTAACAGCATCTTTGAACTATTTATATTTGCCTTGAATATAGGAATGAAATCTAAAGTCGCAGATTGTGACGAAGGTGGTTTGGGAGGTGGTTGTGGTGGTGGAAGGTTTATATAGATAGGCGTCTTTAATTGTGCAAATACCAATAATGCTACCAAAATGTATTCTATATAGTATTATTTATTATTTGAATCAAGTGCAGACTGTAAGTTCTAAAATAACAGTGTAATAGTTTTGTGTGCTTGCACTTGAAAAATTGTTGCTTTGGAGGTGAAGAGTAGCAAACATTATTTTCTTGTTATCTGCAGCAGAGAAATAATGCCATTCCCGAATCTTCACCTTCGCATGGCCGGAAACGCAAAAGGCAACTGGGCAACAGCGATGAGACGGAGGACCGAACGGATGAGGAGTCCAGTTACTCCTCCTTTTATTCATCTTTCTTCAAGACAGATACTGGTAGCGCTGAAGATAGCGGCGATGGAAGGAAGGAAAATCCCAAGGTTTATACTTTTTTTTTAATTTACATTCAATATTAATACATATAAAGTAATAGTTTCATGGTCAGCATGAGTACACCTCTTCCCATGGTCAGCTGGATACAGAAAGGAACTTTCTAGACTAGGGTTGTTGAGAATATCCGCATCCACATCACCCTTGATCGATGCTGATATTCATTGCGGATATTCGCGTCGTGACATTATCTTAAGGGGCGGGGATTACGGCACACTGGAATAATTTACAAACCATCCAGAAATTGAATGCAAGCCCAAAAAAGAGCCCAATGCTCGCTCTTACTTTTGATAAAATTCTAGTGTGAGTTCCTGGTGAGTTGCACTCACCAGGTAAGGCAGATTGATTGATTTTATGAGGGTTAATTTTTTTTTGTTAATAATTGACTTAAAATCTTTAAAAAATCGAAACAATTGAAATTATTTTTCATGTAGATTCAATAAGAATCTGTACATTATTGAAATATTTTTAAATTGTTAAAATTAGAATCCGCTGATGTTCAGGTTAAAAAATCAGCATCCGCATCTGGTGATGTGTACAAAACCTGGATTAGCAACAACCCTGGTCTATAGATAGGTAGACTATATAGCCGTTACGCGGTTTGGCAGATTTATTTGCAGGTTATAAAATAACTCACAACTATATTTTCGCATCGCTAATTTTAGATTCTATGTATTGTGTCATTGTGGAGATCGAATTTCCACAGTATCGGGTCTGGCGTGATTTTTTGCAGTTTTAGACACAGTTATTAAAAAAACTTTGCCTTTTAAATTATTTTGTTCTTTATTTAGAATGGAAGAGCTATTTTTTTGTTCGTAAATTGGGAAGAATCCACAGTAAAAGTTATTCGACTCGAGCCATATATAAAAGATAAAACCACTGTGCAGTAAAATAATACCACCTATACAGTATACAGCCTGTTTTCTTCTAGGATGCTTATTTACGTAACAGTTTAGTAAATATCAATGCACTATTTGTTTCCCTCAGAATATGAACGACTACTATTGTGTTCAACAAGAGAAAAAAGTAACCAGAAGAAAGACAGTACCTCCGTGGATGGAACAGGTATTTCTTGACACATTTTTTCTTCACTCCTCGCGGTTCACATGGATTTGTTACATTTAATTTTGAAGTTAGGTGCACGATTGTCTAATTGAGATGCAACTTCTCACTTTGCGGGCTCCGTACTAAATTAAAATAATTACAGCGCCCGCATTGTGCAAATAAAGCGACCCCGTAAGATCTATCAATTAGCAGGAATATCTGCTATAACAAGTGTAAGCTGTCATGGTTATTTTCTTATTTTTTTGTTATATTTTTTGAAATTAGTAAATAAATTAAACAGAATTGTAGTTGTAGAAATTAGAATAAATGTGCTACATCGAGTGTGTAGGACTTAAAAATGACTAAGGTGCAGCAACGATTAAGTAGTTACGTGGCATAAACTTTTAAAAAATGTGATGCCAAACTATTTAAAAAATGCATTTTATATGGAAAAACAGCAAATATAATGCATCTCATAGAGGGCATAATACTTATCGATAGTATAATATTTAAGAGCTTTTAAAATGTGCTCAAAACTTGAAACTCGTCTTCTATAAATTTAAATATGTAAGTTAAGCCACTGTTTCATCGAAGGTGCGGATGCACTATGAGTAAGGCTGTCAGCGCAAAAGTGGTGTAACCACTATGAAGTGCATAGAGAATTGAAAGAGGGATTTAATGTATTAGTAATCACAATTATTTTTTATTTTCTATTATATTTTTTAATAATTTATATATAAATATTTACAATAATAAATATGCAGTGTTTTTTTTAAATGGGTCAATAAGAGGAAATCCAAAACCGTAGAAGATGCGAAGTAACTGCCTTACGAACCATTAAATCTTCTCTTGTGAAAACAATTTTGGTGTAGTCAATTTTTTGGCCAAGCGTGGGTTGTTCATAAAAATAAATAAAATTGGTCAAAATTTTTTTTAGTGCTGATCGATTCAGTTTTATGTAAGGATCATATCATTGTACGGGACGAAAAATATCGGAACAGCAGAAGTTGGCCAAATTTAATCAAATGCTTTTCAAACAAAATGAATAAAATTTACAAAATTTTTCCAGTTCTGATAGACTTACTTTTATGTAAGGTTCATTTTATCGCATTATAAGAAAAAAAATCGGGACCGCAGAAGTTGGTCAAAATTAATAAAAAGATTTTTTCATACAAAATAATAAAATTGTCTCCCCATACCGTCTCATAAAAAACACTGTATAATTATAATTTTTTTTTATACATGAAAATAGCATCCAAATATTATATAATAATTATGTACTTTAGTTTCATTGAAAGTAATATTGTAGACAAAAAATAAACGTGGATCACACCACGTTTGCGCTGATAGCCTCAAATATAAATCAACATTTATTTCCAATTAATTTTATGCAGAATTTCGAGCGTGAAGTCACAACGGAAGCTAGAATAACCATTATAACATGTTAATTGACTGTGGCTCCCTGACCGTATTATAGTGAGGTTTACGGTAACAATATATACCTTAGCGATAATTAAAACCCTTACCACGAAAAACTATTATTATAAAGAAAAAGGAGTGTATATATTATTAGCATTTCGTGAATGTCGAATTACATTCAAGTAAGCCAATCACAATGGTGCCTCCTTTTGTTTTTTATTTGCCTCTGTTTGTTGTAGTGTGCTAATGAAGAGTAATTGTATTATACGGCTTTAATCACAGTGATATTCATAATGCAATTATGTTTGTCATAGGTGCACGTGACGCCCGATTTGATCTACAAGTACCAGATATTAACGAAGGAAGTTGATGAGGTGCTAAAGGCTGATAGGTTGAAGATGGCCGGCGTAGATATGGTAATACGTTAAATATATTTTTTTATTATAACAAATGACGGGACGAACATGTCGTTCACCTGGTGGTAAGCGACATGCCTTTCCAAAACATTTGTAGTGCCACTCAGAGTTTTAAATCACAAAGTTCTGAGAGGCACTACCACTGCGCGCCCTGAGACATAAGTTGACAAGTCCCATGTGGCTGGAATTTCACTATCACCCTTACCATTCAAAACCGGAACGAAGTAATACTTACATCACTGCTTGGCGGCAGAAATGGGTAAGTTTTACTAAAGTAAGTTTTACTTTAGTAATTAATTGTGATTTGCTATCATCAGCACAATGGTCAGCTGAAATATGGTTGGATTATTCTGTTACATCGTACTCAATTATAAAATGTACTTTTATTAAACTTGTTCAAATTTAGCTTAGCGAGTGAATAAAAATGTCAGTACGTATGGCATGTCTTAGTCTTGCTTTAGTAATTTAATAAAAAATATAAATTTTACAGCCGTCTTTGGTGAATGAGCAACTGGGGCAGCTTTATATGGACATGCAACTGGAGGGAGCTGGAGACCGGCTTCATATCGAAGGAGGCAGCACCGCCTCTAGTAGTTCCGAAGATGAGAGTTCTTCAGTAAATCCAAAAGGGAAGAAGGTGCGTGAAATTCTCTTTAGGGGTTTTTGGGGACTCTCGTGTCACATGTGTCTACCAGAATACCGTGACAAATGGGGGAATATAAAGTTTATATAATCAAAACTGGTATAAAAAGAATTAATGTTCTTTGTCTGTTTCGTATTCTTTTTGTATTGACGAAACACTTGCTTGGCTCGCCATTTTGGCTTAATTTAGTAATTTTACTAAGTCAAAGTTCGTTTTAGATTTCTCAGCCAAATACATTGTTTGGAATGTGAGTTGTTATTTTTTTGCAAACTCTAAACCATAATTGCAATATAATTTAGTGAAGCCAAATATTATTCTTTCAGGTCCGAAGGAAGCACAATTACAGCAAGCTAGTGATGATTTATGAGGAAGACGCACCGTTGCCGCCACCCGATGTTGAGCCCAGTGCAACTGAGCATTGTGGTAACTCGTAGGATAGCAGTAACGGGAACCTGAAGTAACAGTTTTGCTGTGTTAAGTACAATGCGTATCGTAGATTTTGGACACGTGTATCACGAGTTAAACTTGAAACTGGTACAGTTACCCATCGCGTATTTTTAGTTCTTATTTGAATCATGACATTTTGAGTCCGAATAAATAAGACTGAAGTTTTCTGTGGGAAGTGAGAAATTTTCGCGATTTCGTAAGGTGATTTACGAAATACGCGACCCATTTAATTATTATATATTTCTCACATTGTTACGAAAATCTCTATTGAATTATTCAAATAATTATGATTGTAATTTGTTAAGGCCCGTAATAATAACTGCTTTTAAGTCCTGTATTAAAAACGTATCAGCTGAGATGTCGCTCTAATCTCGAGATTTTATCTCAAGCTCTCCCGTATAAATAATTTATTTTCATCTGTATCTTGAATAATGCCATCTCAAGTTTCCAAGACCCTGCACTATAGACTAGTATTTAATAACGATCTTGAACCGTAACGTAAGTTACGTGTGAAGATTATTCATTAGTAAAAGGAAATTGTGACAACTCTCAAATACATCAATGAGTAACAAAGTAGTCACTCAAGTGAAGTGATTTTAGTAGTATATACTATCCAGTACTTGAGATGGATTTGTTAATATGGACCTAAAAGATGATTGTATGAGGTTTTCGTTCTTCGGGTAAGAGTGTAAGGCCAACAAATATTTGTTATTAATGTAAAGCGGGAATTTGCAATACGTAGATGCAAAGTCACAATTATTTAATATTATACTAGTACAAATTATACATTCTGTAAGTGTATTTTTTTATTTTATTTTATTATTATACACTTCCGGACACATAATTCGAGCCACTACCCATTTTCAGTACTAAGTGCCCTAAGTTTAAACAACGTTTGATTGATCAAAAACTATTATGCAATTTTGAAACTAGTATACTAAACGTCTTTTCCATAAGTCACTGTCGGGAATTTGGATTTGCATAACCGGGGAAAACTTTTTCTTCGATGATAACACTATTTTTGGTTTTTAGCCCTTTACGACAAACATGCGAGGTTGTTCGAATTATGTGTCCGGGAGTATATTATAGTTTGTCCTATTGAATGTTGTATATAGGGCTTACTGAGAATATTTATCTGTGAGTCGTATATTCATAGGGTTAACAATTCGTTTCGGGCAAGATTATGTATATGTATATATATACACGCACGCACGCACGCACGCACGCACGCACGCGCGCGCGCACACACACACACACACACACACACACACACACACACACACACACACA